ATGGAAAAAGCAGAATACAGATCTTTGGCTGTTTGGCTGTTTCCATGTATTTCTAGAAAGTACATGGGAGGAAAGCTGGATTTGTTAGGAGGAGGAGGGGGTAATAAAAACTTGACTCTTGTTTCAAGGTGGGCTTTTAAGTACCCTTAAAGTTCATTTCTGATCTTGTCTTGGGAGAACTTCCTTGACATCCTTTCATCTGTCATTTTGAGAGTAAGGAGAACTGGGTGACTGTGCTTAGGTATTGTGTGGTTTGGGTAGACTGTGCAAGCAGCAGCAGCAGCAACAACAACAACAACAAAAAGTCCACATGCAGGAACATCTGGAAAAGTGTTACTAACTTTCTCAATCAAATCTATCAGGAGTTTCTGAAAAAAATGGTGGCTTAAAAAAACAAAAACCTCATGTTAACACAAGACTGTGTGTTGATTCCACCAGGGAAAACAGATTGTTCTCACCATCTCTCACTGCAGCATTGTCACTCCATCCACCAAGGAAACAGAATTGCTGGCAAAAAAATAATGAAGTTTGAAAGCTATTTAAATCAAGGAAGGGGTAGTTGGGGAGAAATGTTCAATGCCATGGAAGATTAAAATGGCAAAATAGCAGAACTGAACAAAACAGGAGAACTTCTTCAAATAGCTTCATTATCAAGCTATAATGATTATCTCCTCACACAGATTCCCCACAAGACTTCTAAATCACCTGGTCTTCTTTCCAGATACATGTGGGATTTTGGCAGAGCAAATGTAAGTGGTGTAGAATGCAAGAGGTACAAAATGTCCAGGGGAGCTTTGGCTTTCTCAATTCTCCAGTTCCCACCCAAACCCATTTGGTGATGACCGGTTGCTTCCATATCTGTGCAGTGATGCATCTATATAAGGTTTTAGCCTGACTGTAAAGGAGCTATCCAAGGTGCTGAAAGGCTCAGAACATTGGACAATGCCTTTAAAATTCAGATCAAGACCTGGAGCAGATTCACCTGACAAGGATGCTATTGCCTCCAGTTGTCCATTGAAACCAATGCTGGGGAGTTATTACCAGAGTAACTAAGGGCCTTTGCAGACTGCCAGAAATAGTGCAAATTGAGTCCACTTTAAGGGTTAGGGAATCATGAGAATCATGGGAACTGTACTTTATTGTGGCACCAGAGCTCTCTGACAGAGAAGGCTCAATGTCTCAGAAAAAAACAACAATTCCTATGATTCCATAGCACTAACCCTAACCCTAAAAGTGGACTCAATTTGCACTATTTCTGGCAGTCTGCAAAGGCCCACCATAGTTGATCATTTGACTAAAGGAGCTGGAAATGTTTAGACTGGAGAAGAGAAAGCTGAGAGGTGATGTAATAAATGTCATTAAATACTGGAAGGAATGTCATGTAAAAGATGGAGCCAGATCATTTTCTAATTCTTCAGAGTCTAGAACAAGACCCAATAGACAAATCTATCAGTGTCACTCTGACCCTCATCCTGCTAAAATAAAGGAGTTCTTTCATCTGAAATTTGCAGATGCTGGATAGTTCTGGCCAAAAATGGAACCAAACTAAATTCTCACTCATCCCTGCTTTGGTTTGTTGCAGTAGCTGGGTTCTTTTAAAGGCTGCATCTGCACTGTAGAAATAATGCAGTTTGACACCACTTGAATGGCCATGGTTCAGTGCTATGGAATCCTAGGATATGCAGTTTATTGTGGAACCAGAACTCTCTGACAGAGTAGCCTAAGTATCTTACAAAACTACAAATCCCAGAATTCCATAGCACTGAGCCATGGTTTTTTAAAGAAGTGTCAAACTACATTATTTCTGCAGAGCAGATGCAGCCTTAGAGATTAGAGATGTCTTGTCAAAACATTTAGGCCAGAGCAACACATAATGCCCTTCCTCCAACTGTGTTCCTAAAAGTAACAGGGGTTGCAGACTGCCAGAAATAGTGCAAATTGAGTCCACTTTTAGGGTTGGGTTAGTGCTACGGAATCATGGGAATTGTTGTTGTTTTTTCTTGAGACATTGAGCCTTCTCTGTCAGAGAGCTCTGGTGCCACAATAAAATACAGTTATCATGATTCTCTAACCCTAAAAGTGGACTCAATTTGCACTATTTCTGGCAGTCTGCAACCCTCCTAAAACTTTTCTCTAATGTTTCCTTGGCTGCTTTATGGCTGAGAGGATAGCATGAAGACATCAGGCACTTCTCCTCTTTAGATCTTTCTCTCAAGAGATAACAGAACTTCAAAATCCTGAAGAGCAGACATCCAGAATTGCTGCATGACATTTGAAGGCATCTGTGCTGATGTGTATACATTTATTTTATTTTTATAATAAAACAGACAGGAAAAGAAGCCAGTATATACAATCTTCTAGAATCTTTCAAGTTGCCATTGCTATGTTGTTGTAGTTGTTCTTATTGTCGTGTTCCTTCAAGTTGTTTCCAACTTATCGTAACCCTAAGGCAACCCTATCATGGGATTTTCTTGGCATGTTTCTTCATCAGAGGTGGTTTGCCATTGCCATTCTCTGAGGCTGAGACAGTGTAACTTGTCCAAGGTTACCCAGTGGGTTTACATGGTCAAGCCAGGATTGAAGCCTTGGTCTCCAGAGTCATAGTCCAGTGTTCAAACCACTGGACTACACAGGCTCTACAATATGTGGTATACAGCAGATAGAGGAATATAAATTAGGCAATACAGTTTGGTCTATATATCAGAGAGTAGATTTGAGATATTCTGTTCTATTGAGGAGATTTAAAGGTCTATTTTAAAAGAAGTACCCCTGAGAAGATATTTAACAGGCATTACAGTTTTCTCTGCACAATCTCCTTTGCTTCTATCTCTTCTACACACCTTCTCCTTAGGGACTCAGAGTGTTTTTGTGTTCTACTTTACAAAGGTCTATCTAAAGTTATCTGTTTCAGAGATGGGGAACATATGGCCTTCTAGATGTTGTTGAGTGCAACTGTCATCAGCCCTAATCGGTATACCCAATTTTAGGAGTGGAGGACAGAGTTATTAGTCCATCAACATCTGGAAGACTACATATTCCCTACCCTGACTCTGTCTGAAGGCCTGTCCAATGCAAGTCCGGTTCAAAGAAAAACAGCCATAAGAAGAAGGGAAAGCAGAGATTTTAATGTGCCTGTCAACAATTGACACTTGGATAGCAGATCAAGTAGCAAGATACATGCCCTCCAATATTTCACAGATTAAAACAGGGAGGCACGTGGTCAGGCAATGTCAGTGTGTGGTCAAGAAGGCAGATGCTATACATGGGGAATAACACACAAGCTTGAAGCAGGTGAAGCAGTTTGCTTTTGCCTGAAAGTACTGGGAAAGGTGTTATTCCACCCTCTACACACTACCCCTCCCTATCTCCTGAGTTAATTGAGTACAAATTAATTTTCCAGTTTGAACACAGTTTGCAACAATTGAAGTAAGTTGATGACAAAAACGATAAACGGAAGGAAGAGCGAGAAAAAGTGGGATGAGATAGGACTGTCCCTTCCATATCAGAAGACCTGGAGAGTGTGCCTGATGAGATGTCTTGTGTTTAAACTAATGTATAAATGTATACATTTAAATAAATAGATAGAGATAAACATATGCAGATATATATCTTCTTTTTATGTGGTGGTGATGATGAGTTTTCTCCCCCTTTCTTTAGTGGTACATAAGTGACCAATGTAAGTCCTTGCCCATTTTCTCTACTGCCAGATTGTATTTCCCTGATCTTCTTCTTCCCAACCACAAGCCTAATGCCAAATAAATAGAGTACTGCTGACAGATAACTGATGATCCATTTTCTATATTTTGTTAAAGTGTAAACGGCCATCCTACTGAGATGTGCAACCAATTGAGCCTAAAGAAGGCAGAAGAAATGACATGCACAGATATAGAATGGGTGACACCTGGCTTGACAGCAGTACATGTGAAATGGATTTAGGAGTCATAGCAGATCACAACCTGAACATGAATCAACAGTGTCATGTCAAAGCTTAAAAAAAACCAATGCAATTCTAGACTGCATCCATAGGAGTGTAGTATGTCGACTGAGAGAAGTAATACTACCACTCTATTCTGCTTTGGTCAGACCTCACCTGGAATATTGCATTCAGTTCTGGGCACCACAATTCAAGAAAGATGTTGACAAGCTGGAGTGTACCCAGAGGAGAGCAACCCAAATGGTGAAGGGTCTGGAAATCATGTCTTATGAGGATCAGCTTAGGGAAATTGGTGTGTTTAGTCTGGGGAAAATAAGATTAAGACACAACATGATTGTCATGTTTAAATATTTGAAAGGAAATCATACTGAGGAAGGAGCAAACTTGTTTGCTGATGCTCAAGAAACTAGGGCATGGATCAATGGATTCAAACTACATGAAAAGAGATTCCACCTCAACATCAGGAAGAACATCCTGATGGTAAGAGTAATTTGGCAGTGGAATACGCTGCCTTGGATTGTGGTGGAGTCTCTTTGGAGATTTTTAAACAGAGGCCGGATGGCCATCTGTTGGGAGTGATTTGATTGTGTATTCCTGCATAAAATGAGGTTGGTCTGAATGGTCCTTGGAGTCTCTTCAAACTCCATGATTATATGGTAAGTGAACAGACAGCAGTAATAAATCAGAGGAAGAGTCAGAGAAGGGCTTTCTGAAAGTACTATGTACCCCTCCAAAATATCAACAAACAAACAAAAGTATCCTTGAAATTATTACTATTCCACTAAGGTTCTTCCCATCTAGGTCTGGCCTAACTCCACCTCCTAGCCTCTTCCATGGTCCAGTATGTTAGAAATTAAAGAGTTCATAACTGAAACTTTGGAGTGAGCTCCTACTTTTCATAAGAAAAGATTGAGAACCACACACAAAAATGAGATCACATTCCAGATGCAGTCCACAAGCTGCCAATTGGCCTCACAGTCAACTGAGAAGACAGTGGAAGATATGTGAAGAAAACTCTGCCTCTCCATGACTGAGGAAGCAAAGAATACATGAGCATGGATCTTGGCAGCAACCCCTGTTTCCATGTGTTGCTAAGAAACTTTAGCTGCTGCAGGTGCAAATAGTTTTCCAATTCTAGCTCATTAAAATATGGATTTTGCAAAAGGGGATTGGGTTCAAACATCTGGGAATCTGGGTTTGGGGGTAGTGAACTGGACACAAAGATGTGTGTGCAAAGAGAGACAAGCACACACATACTTGTATGCTATGCATGTACAACACCATGACGTCCATCCTAGTGGCTCAGTTCCGAGGGCCCCGGACATTGTCAGAGAATGGCCATTGTGGGAAAGTAAGCCAAGGATGCCAAACAACAGGAAATTACCCAAAAAGTCTGTCAGCACAATCAACTGCTATTTTCATTGTTCTTTGGCAAATTTATACACAGTCAGGAACACCTGGGCTGGCAAGCAGCCCAGCTTTGACTAATTGCCAGGGGAGAGGAGCAGTCATTTGTCTTCGGTGGGGTTTCCTACCCTCGCTCCTCAAAACATGTGGTTTCACTTTTCCCCTCTCTCTGCAGGAAATGGCAGGACAGTGAAATGCAGAATAAATGAGTTCGATTCCAAGAGGTTGCCTCCTTGGAGGCTGCTCCAAAAATAACTGTCTTGTGAAACCCTGTTAATAACCAAGACTCTATATACTATCTTCGGCAAACAACATTTCAAAGACACACTGTTCCTTGACTCTTTGGGCCCCCATGTAAATCCAAAACAAAAAGCCAGACTGAACTATAAAAATCCTGAAAGGGAGGGGACAGAGGTGCCGGACACATCTACCTTCTGGAAACAAACAAACAAACTTGTGCAGCAAGACTGCTTTGGATGCAAACAGAAACCTAGCTTTGTTGTTGTTGCATGATGTCAAGTAGTTTATGAGTTATGGTGACCCTAAGGCAACCCTACCATGTGGTTTTCTTGGCAAGATTTGTTCAGAGGGGCTTTACCTTTGCCTCCCTCTGAGGCTGAGAGAGTGTGGCTTGCCAAAGTCATCCAGTGGGTTTCCATGGATGACTGGGGATTCAAACACTGGTCTCCAGAGTCATAGTCCAATTTAGCAGACTCAGGCAAAAGCAAATGGTTATGTGTCTTTCCTCACTGATAATTGTTGGCACTTTGTTGACAATCTGATGTTGCTTGGCCACAGGTGTCCCAGTGAAAAGTTGGAAGGTATGTATGCCATGGATTCCCATGAAATACTCAAACTGGGAAAATATTTCCAACTGCAAAGAGTCAGAATCAAATACTTAAGAGGCGCAATCCAATTTTTACGTTCTCCCTAAAAACAGATCCAATATGCATTCAGTTTGTATGTATCTAAGAGATCAAATCTGTGGGATTTATCCAATCCCAATCTGTGGGATTTGTCCAGTTGTTCACATTGTACAGATGCAATTGATGAGACCTGTTCTGTCCAGGGGCACCACTATGAAAGATTAGAACTACCTGTATTCCATCCCCTGCCTGCAGTCCAACCATTTTCATTCATTGGAAAGATTGTGGATGTATGTCTTTTTCAGTAAACATATACAGAGTATTAGAGTCCCTTCCTGTTACCCTTCCAATAGCTGACAAATACTTTTTTATTATTTAGACAAGCTTTGGGCATATTATAAGACTGATAATATGTTTTGAGTTGGAAGAGACTGCAAGCCATTACTATACAGGAGATCCATAGCTAAACAACCTGATTGATGGCCATTCAACCACCAATGAGGAAGAGTCCACCACTTTCTAAGGTAGTCTGTTTCACTGTTCCAAATGTTTAGTCAGAATTTCTTTTTGTATAATTTCAATTCATTGTTACACATGCAGTGCTGTACTTTCCTCCCCCAATGATGTGTTTTTAAACTATGCTTTTAATTCTTTTAAACTGTTTTGCTTAAATAATTAGCCTTATATT